GGAGATGATGTGTCTATGTGTTGTTGCTTGTCGTGACATCTTTTAGAGGAGATGACGTGCCTATGTGTTGATGCTTGTCGTGACATCTTTTAGAGGAGATGATGTGCCTTTGTGTTGTTGCTAGTCGTGGCATCTTTTAGATGAGATGACGTGCCTATGTGTTATTGCTAGTCGTGACATCGTTTAGAGGAGATGATGTGTCTATGTGTTGTTGCTTGTCGTGACATATTTTAGAGGAGATGACGTGCCTATGTGTTGATGCTTGACGTGACATCTTTTGGAGGAGATGACGTGCCTATGTGTTGTTGCTAGTCGTGACATCTTTTAGATGAGATGACGTGCCTATGTGTTTTTACTAGTCGTGACATCGTTTAGAGGAGATGATGTGTCTATGTGTTGTTGCTTGTCGTGACATCTTTTAGAGGAATTGACGTGCCTATGTGTTGATGCTTGTCGTGACATCTTTTAATGTGCCTATGTGTTGATGCTTGTCGTGACATCATTTGGATGAGATGACGTGCCTAGGTGTTATTGCTGTCGTTTTTCAATGTTACAATTACAATGACGTAAAGAAGAAAAAACACATTTAACGTTATGTTATATGTTAAATTGGGAATCATAATTCAAATGATGTATGACAATTGTCTATGTAATATGATACATTTTATTTTATAAACGCATATAACTGCTTTGTAAGTAAAATAGAAAAATTAATTCCCGCAAGACACTATGCTATATTTTCAGTAACTGTAGTTCAGTTTCAATGACATAAGATAAATTCAAACTTATTTTCTCTTTATAACATAGTTTTTTAAATATAAATAAAACACCAAAACTGAAATCGGTCATTAGCAGGAATGTAAGGTATATGTTTAAATACGATGTTCTTACCCAGACAGTTTTCGCTGACATTCTGCAAGCGTTGTCACTGGTGACGTCACCAGTGACCAAGCTTGCAAAATGTCAGCCAAAACTGTGTGGGTAAGAATATCGTTTTAATAACAAGTGACTCGAAGAAACTTGCACATACATTATTATAAAAACACAGGAAGTCAATCGGAACTCGAAACGACAAGACCATACAAATGAAAGGAACACCGAAACAAAAGGGAAAACATCATGACTCAAAGAGACACACGTAGGCGAAACCATACATTCGTATCATTCTCTTAAAATAATCATACCAATCACGGTTGATCCAGTCATGATAGAGAAGTGGTTGGAGAGGATTAATTTAGCAATATCAAAAAGTTAAAGCAAACAATACATTTCACAATATCAAATATCTATCAGGGATCAAAGTGCTATTTAGGAGGATTTTAGCCCCCCCCCCCCCCCTCCATACACAAACTCACTGTAATATACTGACATATTTTATATTGTTTTCTCATTGACACATCCTCCAAACTCTCCTACAAACGAATTCAAACCAATATTAATCAAGCATATGTCGAATGGATTCCTTGAGTGATCGTTTTGCTATAAACGATAACCTATTACTATGGTATCATTAATAATTAACTGTTACGTACGATAACTAATAATTATACACTCTTACAATCATTAATTGTAAGCGTATCAGGGACCATGTTAGAACAAAATGTTCCAATTTGATTGATATTGATAAGATTCAAAATCATATTCACAGCAAATTCTTTGTTGTTTGGAATTTGATCAGCTTTCTAATTATGAGATGGACTAAAAAGATAGGAGTTCCTACATAAATCATAAGAAGAAAACACAAACTTAACACGACTTCTCACATACATTCAGGAAGCAAATTTGACTTCTTATATTAATCACAGGATAATGTATTTTTTAACATATATCCCTAGAAATCAAACTTTACGTAAATAATTACACAACACACTTGACAGAACTAGAACTATTTACATACACAATTATGAACATACATAACAAGGTGATGATATATATCATTAGAAAAGAAACTTCATTGGACTTCTTGCACAAATCTTGTTTCACTATACTTAACAGTACTGCTGAAATACATCGCTCGAAACATACCTACCAGGCCTTACTTACATCAATAGGAACCTTTAAAATTTAGACTCTAGAGAAATAAAGCCAGGTAGCTAGATAGGAATCCATCTTTTGAAATAGTATCAAACATTTCCTTTCTTCCAGAAGTACGTCGTAATTAAGCCAGAATGAAATTGTATGCTATTAAAGGATTAAGATTAATGTTTTCTTTTGTAATGTATGTTGTGCCAACATGTGCTTAGTGTGTTATTATTAAGTAAGTCAGGTTAGGCTGTGTTGGAATTCCAAGAAGCTGTACTAGAAAATCCCTTTTTTCTATGCACGTCACTGCTGATAACGTTTATACTTTTGTTATAAGGAGATTGATCGCAAAAACAGAAATCAATCCTGTTTTATCATATAATAATTTATTTATCATATATATCATAATATTTGTAAAAGACAATTGTCAACTGCTAAAACAAATTCTGATATATGAATTATTAATATCATTTGTATTTTTTTAATGGAAATATTAAGCAGACTATTTGGATATTTTAGTTATATATTTTATCTCGAGGTTATTTGGTTTAGTTCTTATTTCTAGTTTTTCTACTTCACTTGATAAACCTTAAACAAGATAAAATTTCAGATATTTTTTTTTTCACTTGTCATAAATTCACGTTTTAAATCATTCCCTTGTAAAGGAAATGTCACATGTATTAAATTTAAGTTTTGATTGTCAACTCAATGAAACAACCTGTCACTATTTTGCTTTTAGGATGTCGTCACAATTGTGTTTCGTTTTACATAAATATTACATATTTTTTATACTAGGTGTTTCTGTTAGAACAGTTGTGTATGTTACATGCAGTCGTACACCCAAATTGTATTAGGCTTGATTTTCCATTGCATACTTCCTATGTGAAAAAGAAGCGTCATATATATTAATTTTCATAGATTTGAATGTTGTAACTCTGTGAAATTTGTCACAATAGCAATAAGAATATCATAACAATTCTGTTTGTTCTTGTATAAATATAGCATTTTTGTTACGTTGTATATATTATATATATTATGAATAAAAAACAAAACAGGAATACTAGTACAATCGGCTAGCGCTTTCACCAATCTTGGGGTTCTGCAGGCGATTTGGATTTATTTGTGACGTCATAAATGGAGTACACATGACTTAAGACGTCAAAAATAATGACGTCATAAACAAAGTACACATAATGCGGACGTCTAGAAATTGCGATGTCTTAAAAAGATTACCTGAATGTACTTGCATTAAATACGTCAATGAAATATATGGAAAAAGAAACGGAGCAAATTACAAATGCTCAAATGAATACATTTTTCAATAGTAAAAGTTAAAAACATCTTCATCCTTTTTTAACCTTTTTATTCATATGTAATTACTATGTTCATTGGTACATCCGATTTTCCTAGATATAAAACCAGAATAAAAACAAATGTATGTAAATGCTTACTTTTTGAAATATCTGAAAGTCGAATGCATGTCTAAATAAAAGTGTGACTTTTGTGCTAAAAACGCTGTACTTATGAAAAAGGAAGTGTTGTACTTATGAAAAAGGAAGTGTTAAAAAGGCGGATAAAGAAAACAAAAACGCTTTCTTCTACAATCCCCCCCCCCCCCCCCCCCCCCCCCTCCTCCCGATTCTTTCCGAACCCCAATTCTTGAGGTTTGGTTAAGATACTTATTAAAACAATTTGGTAAAAATGACAAATGACGTAATAGAATCGGCTAGACTCTGCCGAAGTGATACTTTAACGCATATTTATTTCCTGTTTTGTCATATTTGTAGTTCAATAAGTACACAAATGGTGTAAAGGAATCGGCTAGAAGTAATACTTTAACGTATAACAATTTTTTGTTTTGTCATTTTTGTAGTCATAGTAGGAAGAGAATAGTAAGAGATTAATACAGGGTGTATTTGATTATTTACTGGCCGTTTTCCTACGACCTTAACCTTAAAGGTCGTTAAACCACAAACAAACCAAACTTGTTTACCGATAACGCCTCTTTATAGCGTGACGTGCATTGTAACGATGGGAGCAAAAACAACACTTACTTTCATCGATCTATGCCAATCACATTTCTCATCCACAACTATGATTTTGACCGATATGTAGTGTGGACATAAACAAAATAGATCAAATTTCAACCAATTTATGGAAAAACATCAATATCAAAAATTATATACGCCTCTGATACCGATACTGCATTATCACGTACCCAATACTGAACTTGGACAAGGTTTCTCTCCCCTAGCTTTTCTGAGACTGGATTCATCGGACTTCAGATTGACTGTTCTAGGACCTGATTTATCTGACGTTAGAAGAACTGATCAGAGTCATATTCCCCAAATACCAAATGATTATTTTCCACACACTTCCATATCACTTAAACATTGGTATCCTATCTTGTGAAATAACAACCTTCCGATGAAATTATTTGTCCACTTCTGGCAAGAGTTGATTGTTTTCTTTGATTTACTTAACATCATACTGACCTACAAATCTGTTTCGATTCTCTTATTTAGAAAAATTCTGCAGTAGAAAACACGTTTTAATTTTGATATAGCTTAGACACCTATATGAGTATTTGTTGAGATAAATTAAGAAATTTACTGTCGCAGATATTCGTTGTGCAAACCCTGTTCCTAATCGGGACAACATAAACACAATTACATGTCCGTAAAAAGAAAAATGAAAACAAGTTTTCTATTTTACGATTAGTAATTTAAAATCGATTCTCGTTATATTGCTTATCAATTTCGAACACCGGTTACAACCAAGAGCATCCTTGTTAATTTAGCTAACAAGTTATCGTCACAGCAGTTACAATAATGTTGCAGTTACTATAATGATGCTAATTGTACAGTCAGACACTAAACACAATATGTGTAAGGTGTTTTTACTGAAAGAGTAAATGTTATGTTCTTGCTCCGCCTCGTTTAACTGTGTAAAATTGAGAAATGTTTTTCCTGTTGCAGTAACAATTCATGGCGGCGCTCCTTTTAAGGGATTTATGTTAATGGCTGCCGAGGATTCACTTATGGATATGCCGACGGGGAAATTTTTCGCTAACGGAGCAACTGATGTAAAGACAATGTTTTGTTCATTCCCTGGTGACGGCGCTACACACACGGACAGTAAATGGAAGGCACAAATATCAGTCGACTGGTACGCCCCCGCCATCACGTCAGCAGATCACATGCAGTTCATGTAAGTATATACGAAATGACAACGTCATGGATATTTGCTTAAGCAAATCACAAACCCTCGTTGTGGAAACACTTTAAAGTAAAACTGTTATCTTGATGCCACATGCATTCCTTTTCCATAATTCACAACAGTAATGTTTGATAAATTAAAATAAATATATATCTGAACCTGTAGTCTTCAAAAATGTAATCTCATCAGCAAAAGAAACTATCGTTTACCAATGGCAACTGGTACTTATTGAATGAATGAATGGCACAACATTACCTACTAATGCATGCATCACTAACATGCTTTATTCTTATTTATGCGGTAATGATTAGGAAATGATTTCTAAAGGGTAAGCTAAACATTGTACAATGCTTTGGATAGCATTCAACATTAACTCAAACACAGATCAAAGGTATAATGTGCAAGATAGTATTTAACGTAAAACCAAACACAGATAATGGTTAGTATGTGTAAGGTAGCATATCTCTCTCTCTATAGCTCTGACATAAATCATGTATATAATATAATAAATTGCATATTACTAAAACACAAACCACAGATAGATTTTCCACTTTACATATAATCCTCGGAATAGGTAGCGAATACTATTATTTCATATGAGGTAATTATTACGCGATAACATATATGTATTTGTTAAAGATGTGAAATTTGAGTATAAAAATCCCCTTTTTTGATGATTTGAATGATCGTTTGATATTAAGCGTCACATTGTTGTATAGTACTAATCTAAAAGAAATGTTTGGAAGCATTAATGTGTTCCCACCCAATGTACCGGTAATAAAGCTTAGAGTACAAAGAGACTTTAATATGTACCGTAATTGAAATGAAGCAAATACACATATTGATTAAACATTGAACATAGAATATTCTTTTTAATTATAAGACCGGCTGGGATTTTGTTTAAAGCAAAATGCTGAAAATAACATTCCCGAAACATAAGGCAGTGGAAACCTTTCAATCCTTATTGACATAAAGTAATAACTACATTAATACTAATTGACATGAAGTAATAACTACATTAATACTAATTGACATAAAGTAATAACTACATTAATACTAATTGACATAAAGGAATAACTACATTAATATTAATTGAAATAAAATAATAACTACATTAATACTAATTGACATAAAGTAATAACTACATCAATATCAATTGAAATAAAGTAATAACTACATTAATATCAATTGACATAAAGTAATAACCACATTAATACTAATTGACATAAAGGAATAACTACATTAATACTATTTGACATAAAGTAATAACTACATCCATATCAATTGACATAAAGTAATAACCACATTAATACTAATTGACATAAAGGAATAAATACATTAATACTAATTGACATAAAGGAATAAATACATTAATACTAATTGACATAAAGGAATAACTACATTAATACTAATTGACATAAAGGAATAACTACGTTAATATTAATTGAAATAAAATAATAACTACATTAAAACTAATTGACATAAAGTAATAACCACATTAATACTAATTGACATAAAGTAATAACCACATTAATACTAATTGACATAAAGGAATAACTACATTAATATTAATTTAAATAAAATAATAACTACATTAAAACTAATTGACATAAAGTAATAACCACATTAATACTAATTGACATAAAGTAATAACTACATTAATACTAATTGAAATAAAATAATAACTACATTAAAACTAATTGACATAAAGTAATAACTACATCAATATCAATTGACATAAAGTAATAACTACATCAATATCAATTGACATAAAGTAATAACTACATTAATACTAATTGACATAAAGTAATAACTACATTAATACTAATTGACATAAAGTAATAACTACATTTATACTAATTGACATGAAGTAATAACTACATTAATACTAATTGACATGCAGTAATAACTACATTAATACTTATTGACATGAAGTAATAACTACGTTAATACTCTCAAAAAACTTCTTATATATCATTCTCAATGTGGAGAGAAAGACGGGACATTTGAGAGTTAAAGTTTGCAACGATCACAAATTTCCCAACTTTTTCATTTCTAAAACATTTATACATTGCACAGATACATGGCGGATAGAATGTGTTCCCATTGATTTTACTCTGTTCCTGTTTACAGAGCCACCATTGTAACCAACAGAAGTACAGTTTGGACAAACATTAAATCAGCGTTCCTCCAGGCTGACCCTGCAGTCAGTGGTACGTATACTTTGGTTTTGTTTTGTTTAATTTTGTTTTACGTCCTATTAACAGCTAAGGTCATTTAAGGACGTGCCTCAATGTGTGTAGTGTAGGCGTGCTTGCGTGTGTGTATGCAAGAGACATGGTATGTTGATGTGCTTGCCTCCTTGTTATAGCGCGGATCTGATGCCGACTTTATAGTTTTATCTCACTGAAATATCATGCCGAAGGCACCCAACACAGCATTCTGCCCGGTCACATTATACGGACAACGGGTGAACTTGTTGTAGCCATTCCCCTTAATGCTGAACGGTAAGCAGGGAATGACAGCTACCTTTTATAAGGACTTTGGTATGTCCCGGCCTGGGGACTGAACCCATTGTCTTCCACACCTGGGCGAACGCTCAAAATTCAAGCCAATAGTCAGGTGTTGTCAAGAAAGCCGCTAGGAAATAAAAGGCAGTTAGAAGTAGAAAGAAAGATAAAGATTCCAAGTATTGCAATGGGTGCAGCGGATTTATTTTGGTAGCTTTTGTGTCCCAAACAGAGGCCACGAAAGCAAATCCCCAATTCTGCAGGGGACACCTTGTGTGACATTTCTATCATTTATCAAAAAGTTTGACATTCATACATTTGATGTCATGCGTATCTTTGAAGTGTAAGTCAAATTATAAACAGACAGAGACTAAAAAGATCTACTTTGCCAATGAATAAGCTGCTAAAGGGGTACTTCATATCGTAGAGAAATTATTCTCACCGTGAACAATAAAGTCGGATATCTATGTAATAACTATATAGGAAAATGCTGATATATAGTTCTTGTACCGACACGTTACGCAGAATAGGCTCAGCGTCAAACGGAAACAATTAATTGAGTGCACAGGATATAAGGTATCGAATAAAAAGATATTTAAAAGGCCTCTCTATCATTTACAGTACTCCATGTCATCAAAATTACAACAAAGTGACCAGTTATTCAATGTAACTTCGATTTAATGTACATGTGGATTGAGTAAATGATAAGTTTTAAACAAACTTTAATGTGTTATCGAATTTTCGATAATAATGCTACCATGAACAAATGAATTCCTTTAAAATCAATCTATTTTTAAATATTTGTTTTTGATTTTGCACCATTAAAACAACTTGTATACCATTGTCCAGTCATTTTATGTGTTGTGTTATATAAGCACGAGACTCAATTGATACGTATTTGTCATACATTTGTTTTACATTCAGTTAGAAGACGGTATGACCCAGGTTACATGTCCTACAAATATAGCCTCAGTGACAAGTCAATGACAATAAATCAGGAAAACCGTCACTATAAATTATTTGTCCGTCCCACACCGGACATGATAGCCGTCATACTCACACCTCCCGAAATGCCTATTTCGTCTCGTAAGACTTCCGGGCATATCTTGCGAGACCACCCTCGTGCAGGACTTGAAGTCTGCTTTACGCATGCTTGTTCACTACTTTCCTTAAACTTAACACTATGAACATTGGTAAAGTATATGCAATCAATTCAGAATAATAATATAAAGGAAAAGAGAAAGTGCAATTCCTTCACATATAAATCATATATTTCAAATTGATAGTAACGTAAACTAAGTCTAGAAACACATTTTTATTAAAACATTAGTGTTATAATTGAAATTGTAAAAATAATCTAATATCTGCGGTTTAAATCCAAATATACTTCACCAACATCAGATATCAATAATGGAGGTATTCACACACTTTGTCTACAATATGAACTTTTACAATATTCACAAAATCAGATAAAAGATTGCTTTTTCTTTCTTTGCACATCAAACATTTGTTTCACTCTGCTTTTATATTAGCATCTCCTGCACAAATGTAAAGCTTTTACAATGTGCGCGAAGCAGGAAGCTTATATTTCCTTTGAACGTAATTGTTATCGAAAATGAATGAATTTAAAATCTACAAATTTACCTTTAACCAAAATATTTGGTTAAAGGGAACAAATAAATATCCAACCTGTCGCGATCTAATAATTTCTATAGCAAATCTCGTGCACACTCTTATGGTAAATAAGCAAAGAGATGGTTGACAATCGGTAATCTTAAAATCAGTAGTAGTTGTCCTATTGTTAATTACTAAAATGACTAATTAGTTCAAAATGTTTATTACACTGAAAAGTGTGGTTTAGTTACTGCCTTAAATTCCAGATTTTTAAAATAAAGCTTAAGTCGATGATTATTAAAGTTCGTGATTATTGAAATTAGAAACCAAGTATGTATTCCCTCTGATTCAAAATGATTATATAATACATATATACCAAAATACTCATATTTATGTTCAAATAAAAAAGATTTTTCTAACTTTGAGTTAACGTCACAGTAAGCGTTTCGAGGTTGAATGATGTAACCCTGTTAGTGTAACATTGCACACTTTACACCTCACCTCTGTCACACCCTGTCACCAGACGTGATGTAGGATCGTCATAAATTAACTCTTCCTAACGTAACTGCTCTTTTCGTGAACCGTAATACAAAATAGCCGTTCTAAAATGTTACGTAACTAGTTTATAGCCACGAAACAGAAAAACGGTACGGTATTAGAAAAAATGGGAAGTCCAACCAAATACCTAAGAAACGAATACAGCTTCATAGTGTTTTCTAAGTTTCACTGTTGTCCAATTTTTTTAAATTTAATTTGACAAACAGTAACTATATGGAATGTTTGAATGCTTACATTTCACAGCGCAACATATTTGACAAATAGATCGATTAAAACATTTAGTATAGCCAACAATATAATGGGTAAACCTTTCATAAGCATGATAAAGAAAGGTCATTACAAAGATACATACTGTCTATTCCGTCTTTGCGTATTGCAGAGTTATCTTCTCTTGGGAGCAGGTATTGATTTGATACGTCATTGGTTTGTGCGTGAAAATTACGTCGTTTTCTCAAAATTTGATGACGTTTCTCTCACAAACAAGTGACGTAACAATCAATCCCTGCTCCCAAGAGAAGATAACTCTGCAATACGCAAAGACGGAATAGGAATATACTTGGGATCCTAACATTATTAGTTCTGTTGCAGACAGATTAACTTTTTGCGTTCTATAGAGTATAGTTTTCTGGGTTGACGGGAGATATTATGACGTATATCAAATGAGTAGCAAAAAATGCATACCCTTCTGGAACGCCAGGTTTATGTTTGAGGCGACCCATGATGACGCTGCTTATTCTCTGTTTTTATCGTTTCCGTTCGATTTCGAGATTGGATTTTATCCTTGTGTATTGGCAAATTAATGCATTTTATGTTTTATTTCTATTGCATTTATAGATGGAATGATAGAAGTAAACCTTAAATACATGCCCTTTCTGCTTTCGCATTTTAATTAATCTTGTTTCATTCTTGTGAAAATGCATTGTTTGCATGTTTTAGGACAAAAAGGTCACTTTTAAATGAAAGATTTATTTGGTTAAAGAAACATGTTTATATTACGTTTACGGGGCTATAGGACTTTTGAGAGCTGCTGAACTTATTTGATATAATTTCAATCATTGCTAATGGAGGACCTCTTTAAATGTGTTAACATATTAACTGAACTTTCACAACACTGCTTAAACACACATGAATAATTCTTTACATATTTGTTATTTACAGAGGGTCCAGAATATGGAGGTACAATTTGTACTTAGGAGAAAGTGCTTATTATTTATAACCATGTATTCAATGTTTTCTTTCGACGCGACAGTCTGTCTGTTTATTTTCTACTTGCCTGGACTAATGGACTAAATTACACCAGAATGGAATATCAGTAACCTTTTGGAATTAAAACTAGAAAGAATTAGTAACATGTGGGAAAACGCATTGAAAAAATATCCCTAGACTTCATATAAGGCTGTCGCTTCGAAACTAAAACAGTGCATGAATATACATTTATACATGTTCAACTATATGCTTGCCATTCTATGAGCCGGTTGATTTTATTCGGTTTGTGCTATACATATCTTTGGTCTACGCTATAATATCTGTTCGCCATATACATGTATATAATATAAACGTTGCTTAGTTTTTACTCTGCTAAATTATACATGTTTGCCATAATCTTATGTATATATATATTGCTTGATTTTGGCTTTGGCTATAGAACATATGTTTGCAATAATTTTATTTAAATCTTGCTTGGCCCTTACTCTGCTATATCATATAAGGCATGACTTTTTATCTGTTATATCATATAAGGCTTGGCTCTTTCTCTGCTATATCATATAAGGCTTGGCTCTTTCTCTGATTTATAATGTAAGGCTTGGCTCTTTCTCTGATATATCATACATGGCTTGGTTTATTTCTGTGCTATATCATTTATATTTGTCATACCGTATAAATGCTGCTTGTTTCTGTCTGTGTTTAAACATTAATTTTTGTATTATCTATATACAGTATATTTATTATATGTTGCTAACCTTGCGTGCGAATAACCGTACTATTAACTCTGAACAAATAGCAATAACCTTTAAGTATAACATCAAAGTTTAACATTCTACACAAACTATGTACGTATTAAAAGTGTGGCAACGTTTCAAGACTGACTGGTCCCTTTGTCAAGCTATGACCGACTGGTCCCTTTGTCAAGCTATGACTGACTGAGCGACTTGTATTGTTTACGTGTACAACGATGAAAGAAATTGTATATTTCATGTGTCACTCGATCTGTATCGACTAGGTTACTTACTCCCGTTAGGTCAGTTGCGGGTCAAACAGATGACAAAGTCACCCCTAGTCCCTGTTCATGATGTGTGTTTTCCTGATTTTAATTGCTCCTTTGATTTGTGTCGTTTTTGGATGCCGATTTATTGTACTGGGTAGCGAATGTTTTGCGTGTGTTTCTGGTAAAATTGGTGTTTTCACTTTCTCTACGTCCTTTTGATGTTCTTGAAGACATGTAACATTTCCTCCCAGCTTCCCATATATATGACTGCTGACGAATTTTGCACGGAATTTGGTATACAACTCCTGTTTTTTCTAGAACGCTAAAGTGTTGTCTTTGGGTTGCACTATTCATTGTCTGAGCGTTGTCAATGGTCTCATCGGGGTGCTGAAACAGCGTTTCCTCATGAACCAGGCAAACGCCTCAGACACCCGTTTCACGTAGAGCATAGTGCCACGGCCTTTGCATTAAGCAGGCTCTCCCCTTTTTTCGTCTGTCTCTGCTTATTAATTTCCGACTTTTCTTTTATTGCTCTTTTCACTTTGTTGATTGACCAGTCGGGGTAGCCACCGCGGTTGAGTGCGTCTGTACAGTTCCTCCTTGTGTTTATATTCATGCTCTGTGAGGATGTTGTCGGGGTAACCACCGCGGTTGAGTGCGTCTGTACAGTTCCTCCTTGTGCTTATATTCATGCTCTGTGAGGATCTTGTCGGGGTAGCCACCGCGGTTGAGTGCTTCTGTACAGTTCCTCCCTGTGTTTATATTCATGCTCTGTGGGGATGTTGTCGGGGTAGCCACCGCGGTTGAGGGCGTCTGTACAGTTCCTCCCTGTGTTTATATTCATGCTCTGTGGGGATGTTGTCGGGGTAGCCACCGCGGTTGAGGGCGTCTGTACAGTTCCTCCCTGTGTTTACATTCATGCTCTGTGAGGATGTTGTCGGGGTAGCCGCCGCGGTTGAGTGCGTCTGTACAGTTCCTCCTTGTGCTTATATTCATGATCTGTGAGGATGTTGTCGGGGTAGCCACCGCGGTTGAGGGCGTCTGTACAGTTCCTCCCTGTGTTTACATTCATGCTCTGTGAGGATGTTGTCGGGGTAGCCGCCGCGGTTGAGTGCGTCTGTACAGTTCCTCCTTGTTCTTATATTCATGCTCTGTGAGGATGTTGTCGGGGTAGCCGCCGCGGTTGAGTGCGTCTGTACAGTTCCTCCTTGTGCTTATATTCATGGTCTGTGAGGATGTTGTCGGGGTAGCCACCGCGGTTGAGGGCGTCTGTACAGTTCCTCCCTGTGTTTACATTCATGCTCTGTGAGGATGTTGTCGGGGTAGCCGCCGCGGTTGAGTGCGTCTGTACAGTTCCTCCTTGTGCTTATATTCATGGTCTGTGAGGATGTTGTCGGGGTAGCCACCGCGGTTGAGGGCGTCTGTACAGTTCCTCCCTGTGTTTACATTCATGCTCTGTGAGGATGTTGTCGGGGGAGCCACCGCGGTTGAGTGCGTCTGTACAGGTCCTCCCTGTGTTTATATTCATGCTCTGTTAGGATGTTGTCGGGGTAGCCACCGCGGTTGAGGGCGTCTGTACAGTTCCTCCCTGTGCTTATATTCATGCTCTGTGAGGATGTTGACGGGGTAGCCACCGCGGTTGAGTGCGTCTGTACAGGTCCTCCCTGTGTTTATATTCATGCTCTGTGAGGATGTTGTCGGGGTAGCCACCACGGTTGAGTGCGTCTGTACAGGTCCTCCCTGTGTGTATCTTCATGCTCTGTGAGGTGTCGATGAGTGTACATATGACTCCAACCTTTTTTGGTGTTGCGAACTGAAAGGCAATCGATGTGTATCAGTTTGATGTACACTTAGGGTTTAGTGGTGCCGATTTTTGTCGGACGATCCAAATATGGTATGTATCCGTCCTTTTCCTCCTCGTTGGTAAGTTTGATAAGATTTGCCTGTTCACGTTCCTTAGAAAATCTGTAAAGCCCTTCTCTGCTCCATTTGTACTATTTCTAGGATGTCATCTACATATAGTTTCCATATGCATTCCATTGGTCCCGATCTAATGGCGGTCTGCTCTAGGTGTTCCATGAACAGATCCACATCTATGGATGACACGGGACTCCCCATAGCAGTGTCGTAAATCTGTTGAAACACCTGGTTTTTGAACACGTAGTGTGTCGTGTTAATGAAAAAAAGTAAGTCGTATCTACTGAAAGGTCTGTTCTCTTCTGGAGTGTCTTGTCTGCTGTTAAATTTCTCCCTGATGATATGGATGGCTTCTTGACCACGTCGTGGGTGTTGAAATGCCATGTTCTTTACTATCTGTCCCTTGGTTGGCGAAACGTCCCGTAGTCGAGCTACAAATGAAGTTTACAATTGTGTCACATCGTTGTACAGGAAAATGATACAGATGACACTCAGTCATACCGGTACAAAGGGAACAGTCGGCCTTGAAACGTAGCCACAAGTGCAATATGTACATTGTTTGTGCATAAAGTAAAAGTTTGATATTACATGTTTCCAAAGTTTTGAATCTTATTGAAAACCTTGTTGTAACTTTAGGGTTTCCTTAGTTTCCATTCTGTAACAAAAGGCGTGTTATGTAACAATACATTAATATCATACTCACGGACGGAAGCAAACGCAGTTAATATATTCATCAGTTCTGAAATATCAGTTTATTTCTACATAAACCATGTATTGATGTATCTATACGTATCTAGATACATATTTATGATTTATTGTTCATGTTTGTTGGTTTGCTTTGCATCGTCTGTCTCCTTGACTATATCATATTTGTCTTCATGTGAATGTTTCGAAATGTCAAATCAAATTACAGTTAATTTGGATCCAGCCTTCTATTCTTCAGTCATTCTTGTGTCATGTCTGGTTAACGTTCTCATATCAATATATAGGTATTGAATGGGAACGTATCATCACCTTAATCATCATCACCATCATCATCGTCTTCGTCGTCATTATCATCATCATCAGAATAGATTCGGGGTGCAATTAGTTTTAAAACATTGCAGTCTTATGTCGATAACATTACTTTATCCTTAATATGTATATCTATATTTGTACTTACTTTTACTTAAATGTAGATGGCTGAAATCAATAAATTAACGTTATTTTATTGTTTTAGGTAGTACAATTACATTATCTACATATCTATATAGCTATTCCGTCTTTTCGTATTGCAGAGTTATCTTCTCTTGTGAGCAGGTATTGGTTGTTACGTCATTGGTTTGTGAGAGTAACGTCATCAATGTTTGAGAAAACGACGTAATTTTCTCACACAAACCAATGACGTAACAACCAATATTTACCTATCGATATTCTACTGTTTGATATTTTTCTGTAGCCAGTTATATTGCATTATCAGTATCGAATTAACCCCACTTTTACGTAAATGAACATCTTTCTAATATAACAGATAGGCTACTTATCGCAGATCGTTTATTCCGTCTTTGCGTAATGCAGAGTTATCTTCTCTTGTGAGCAGGTATTTATTGTTACGTCATTGGTTTGTGAGAGTTACGTCATCAATTTCTGAGAAAACGACATACTTTTCTCACACAAACCAGTGACGTAGCAATCGATACCTGCTCACAAGAGAAGATAACTCTGCAATACGCAAAGACGGAAAAATACGAAACTTACATCAATATATTGATGTATATGTTATATCTATGTGTGTATATATCATTGTTTGTGTCATGCAGCTAAATATAGTATCTACATATATATGTACAAATATTTGTTTGTGCGTCTTATCCTCGGATGATCATATGTGAATTCATTTTACAAGTTGTTTCAGTTTTGGATTTCAATAATTTATGTCACGTACTAGATGGGAGTATTACGTTTAGTTGTCATTAATTGGGCTTTGAACAATTTGGCCATGTTGTTTACTACAATGAATACAGAAGTTGTCATAAACAAACGTCTTATGAGAAATAAGATAACATCAGCTATTTTGAAACAACATTGATACAATGTAAGTGTCTTGACAAATGAAAATGTTGAAGTACACTATGATTTCTATCTAATATTGCAGAAGCGGCCGAAGGTGGTATGATGCCGGGCGGGCTTGGTGGAGCTGGTGGCGGGCTAGACCAATGGGGCTACCCGATCTCTACAACCCCGGGGTACGGAGGCTGGGGTGGAGGAGCGGGAGTGTTTGGTGGAGGATTTGGTAGGGGAGTAACACAGGGATACACGACCGTGTCACCTGATATTCCGGTTAGGTCGGAGGCAGGTTCCTCTCGGAGTAGAGCAGGAAGGCGGCAGAACGGGCGAAGCAGATTGAGTACCGCTGAAACCACTACACAGACGCCTAGTCAAGGCGAACGATGGGGAGAGGGTAGAAGTAGAAATAGCGGCTGGGGAGAAAGGGCAGGAGGTAGAGGTAGAGAAGGGGGTAGTCGTGCAGGTGGTCGAGCAGGATCAGGAGGCGCTGGTAGGGCGGGAACAGGCGGCGATGCTAGAGGGGGAACAGGCGGCGTTACTAGAGGGGGGACAAGAGGCGGTGCTAGAGGGGGGACAGAAGGCGGATGGGGGGAGGGAAGAAGGGGTGGGGCTGGAAGAGCCGGTGGAAGAAGAGGAGGCAGGGGAGGTGGTGAGGCTAGGGGAGGAAGAGAGAATGGAGGAGGTGGGGAATGGGGAACAGGAGGAGGATGGGGCGCGGATGCAGGAAATGGAGGTGGCGCTGGAGGATTTGAAGGAGGATTAGGGGGAGGAGAAGGAGCAACGCAAAGACGATTTCAACAGATGTTTATGCAATGGTTGATGGGCGGAGGAGAAAATGGCGGTGGTACTGGCGGCGGCGGTGGCGGTGGCGGTGGCGGCGCTGGAAACACGAGGGGTATGAACGGATTCAGCAATATGTTCTGGAGAAAATAAATGAGTTATATATTTGGTTATATTGTTGATCCCATAAACGGTATTTTATATCAAAAGCAATAACGTTATATTTTCATGATCCCATGTTCTGATACTAACTATGTTAGTTTAAGTTATATATGTAGTTGTAAATAGTGCAAATGAATAAATGAAGATACTGTTACAATGTATGCATTGAGAGAGTAAATTGTAAGGGTGTGAGAGTATATCTGAGGACTGCGTTTGAGACGTGTGTTGATGATAGTATGGAAGATATATTAAAGCGTACTTAAAACCAAAGACATGGGACGACCAACATCCTCAGTGTTCCAGGGGTTACGCCCACTTACGCTCTTTGCACTACTGGTTCAGTGTTCGTGACCTTGTGGGTGAGACAAGAAGGCTAGTTTGATTCTTTGATGTACATCAAGAAAATTATCAAGGTCGTTTAACGGTAAAATTGACTGGCTTTGAAGTCGGGTTTCGCTCCTCTGTAATCTTCAAAGGGCAGGTATTAGCCTAGGGATTGGTCAGATTTTTTTTACCTGAGACCAATAGCGTGCCTTTTATTTGCTATGACATATTCCAGAGGTGCAGAGAGCGTAAGTGCGCGTTACCCCTGGGGCATCGAGGATGGAAGACATATAACTAACGTAATAATGTTTGCTAAGATTACATAACTTTACACCAGAATTAAAAAAAAGTTTGATATTCTTTGATACTTGTGTACACACTTTTGATGTTACGTACTCAGTTAAATGTTTGTCATGCTTCAGAAATTAAATATTATACATTAACTCAGATTACGCAGAAACGATACCACATTTTTGATGTTACATGTGTATAAGATATATTGTCTACAGTCAAAGAAATTGCCGAAACAAAACAAAACTTACGTTATCATTTTTATCTGACTCGAGTCAAGTAAATAAAAAAGTTTTAAAACCAAAATATTTTACCGAGTTGTTTTTGTGCGAAAAAAATGTTAATGAAAATATAATAAACTAGAAAATGTCTTTAATACATGAAAGCCCCCCGCCACCATGAGAAACTAGTTTCAGTGTTTGATGTTCTATAAATAGTTATAACCACTTTGATACCCTGTAAAATGTACACACACAAGGTTCTATAATTTCGTAATTTCAATTTCAACAAATCTTATTGACAATATAAGCAATAGTCAAAAGGATCAGACATCAGGCATAGCCTATCTTTATACATTGATATGATAATTGGTATAAGGGGAAGTAACTCCTTGATGTAAACAGACTTGTTCAATATTCTTGAGACATAGTAACCCTTTCACTAGGGATATATAATTTGAGATATTTACCAGACTATCATCTCCAGTGAATAACATCAAGTATTAGACAATGCGTTACTGGTATTCATATAAGGTAAACTGTTGAGTAAAAATATTTGGTGATATTGGATTTACTCCCCCAACAGATACAAGCCATACAGTCCATATGTATAACATACTAGCCTTACACTGTTGAGGATCAAAAGCCAATTGCAGCAAATAGATATATAATTTGTAAGTAGGGCTACACCAACTCCTGCAAATAAAATGATAATTATTTAATTAAATTAAAAGGAGTTTTATTTCATATCTTGATGTAAGCTTAAAAGAAGAAAAAAACAACAACCCCAATCTAGGCTGCCCATATCCAATTTCATTCAGTAGGAATATAACAGGTAAATTAGTAATTATCAAAGGTAGAATAAAGTAGTAGTATCTAATTAATTCCATATTATATTACATAAGGTATATCTGGTACTGCTATATCATTGTAGTTCACCGGGGGTTATAAACCTTATATGCATATAACATAATAAAAAAAATGTAAGAATGTATATGTTCCGAAAAATGGTAAGGGTAAGTCAAAGATTATATTAATGAAATTCTTTTTGATTGCGATATAAAGTTTGATACATGAGATAAGATATCTCTATTTTGTATATCATTACAACTATTCCAATATTTTAATAGGACATTTTATACAGATGATTATGAGTGTAATGATTCAAACTCTGTTGGAGAGTCTGGCGAATATTATTATATTGATTACATTCAGAAAAATAATGTGAAGCAGTTTCGAAAGATTCAATTAAGTGATCTTTATAACGATCATAATTTAGATTATAGGCATCATTTCTTAATTGGCAAAGTATAATGTTTACATTACGATTGCCAAAGTATTTAAAAACATCACTTGTTTCAGATTTCATTATTGCTTTGTAGTTAGTAACCTTTTTAACTGTGCGGTAGATTGGATGTTAGCAATATCTGGGGCAAGTCTATTAATTTCATTTAGCATGGACGGAAATAAACTTTCAAAAAAAAAATCACAGTACGACATAAAGGGGGATCAAATAATCTGTTTATTCGGAGGGGATATCTGTCAAGAGTTTCACCATGCATATATGGTTGAATAATTTCTCTTAGGTAATCTAGGGTTTCATTATTCATTATTCTATACATTAAAATTAGTTTATGTTAATTTCTTCGGCAGCTCAAAGTTTCCCATCCTAATTCCTTGTATAATTTATCATGTGATGTCCCTCTACGTAAACATGTAATTAATATTGCAGCCTCTTATTGTATTGATTCTAATAGATTTTTTTTGAGCTAGTGTACAATTGTCCCACAAAACATCTGCATATTCAATAACTGGTCTTATGTAGGATGTATATAAGGTTGTTAAGGATTTTCTATCAACTTTATTTTTTAATAACCTTAACATATTTATTTTTTTAAAGCTTTTTGATATATATTAGATATGTGTTGATTCCATTTGGCATCATCACTAAGTGTAAGGCCCAGATGTGTATGTGTTTTGCTTTCAACAATTGGTGCGTCATAAAAAGTAACAATAGGATGATTCTTATTAGTTTTCCTTGAGAAAATTACAGATTCAGTTTTAGAAGGATTTAATTCAATTTTCTTTGTGCCAATTCAATGGGATTATTATCACATATACCATAGAGAGAGGTGTCATCTGCAAATAATCAAATTTTACTGGAAACACAATCAACAATATCATTAATATATATTAAAAACAATAACGGACCGAGGACCGAGCTTTGTGGAACACCTGTTTGAACAGGGTCAAATGTTGATGCATAACCTTCAGTTAGTACTCTCTGTTTACTGTCTGATAAAAAGTTACGAAACCAATTTAAAAGATTACCTTTAACACCATATGATTCCAACTTGTAAAGCAGTTTATTGTGCCAAACTGTATCAAAAGCCTTGCTTATGTCACAGAATATAATTCTGATTTCTTTATTTTGATCTAGGCAATTAACAATGGTATGTTAAATAGACAATAATTGATTTACAGTTGAATCTTTAGGTGTAAAGCCAGACTACTGTTTTGTAATGATTTTATATGTACTGAGGTAATTATATAGATATTTAAAAATGATTTGTGCTAACATTTTACTAAAACATGAAGTAACAGAGATAGGTCTGTAATTAGACACCTCATTTACTAATCCTTTACCTTTATAAATAGCGTTAATATTAGCCATCTTCCAGCTGAGGGGAATGATACCAGTTTTAAGTATTTTGTTAAATAGAAGAGTTAGAGGAAAGAGGATAGATGGATGTAATTGTTTGATTATTCTGGGAATCATGTCATCTGGTCCAGCAGGTTTATTAGCATTCAGAAGGAATAGCTGATCTTTAACATCCTGTTGTGTTATAACAGTATCATTAATGGAATAAGGAAAATCGTTAGTAGTTTCAGGTATAGGTTCAGTATTTTCAGAAGTGGTAGATATTGATACAAAGTATTTATTTAAGCATCTAGCTTTGTCAAATGGATGTTGAATAAATTAATTATTGTGAGATAGTGGGGAATAGAAGTAAATTTGTTATTTATATCAAGGACATTTCGTGCAATTTTCCACCACTTGTGAGGGGGAATAGTTTTTTGTACTAGATTTTGCTTTCCTATGAGCCCTATTTCTTTGTCTTATATGTAGTCTAATATCATTAGTCATCCATTTTTTATCGTTTGGTCTAATTGTTACATACTTAATGGGAATAGATTCATTAATTAAATGTTTTATAGTATCACATAAAATATTGCTAAACTCATTTGTATCATGTATATTGATAAGGTTTTCCTAATCTTTTTCTAAAATACATCTATTCATCTCATCATAATCTGCATCTTGATAAATATGAATTTTCTTTCGATAGGTTTGTTTTTTAAAAACTGCATAGGAAATGTTAAATTGTATCAGAGAATGGTCACTACATATAGGAGGAAGCACAGATGCATTTTTAACTAGATTTCTGTTGTTGGAAAAGATAATATCAATTGAAGTTGATGAAGTTGGAGTGATACGGTTGGGGTCTGTGATAAAACTAGAAAGATTAAATTTTGTCATTAGTCTACCAAGGTGGGAATGGGGTTGAAGATTTAACATGTTGATATTAATATCACCCGTAATCACTAAATCAAAGTTAGTGTTTACAGCTTTTTCAATGACTTGATCTAAAATTTCTCAATATCTAACTGGTGATTCTGGTCTATATAGACAAGCCAGACGAAACTTGTGCAACTCAATGTGGATTTCCACCCATATCATTTCAGCTTCATCATTTTCAAGATCATGTCGTCTTTTGGTGAAAATGTTGTTTTTGTGATAGATTAAAACCCCACCACCAGGACCAGTTTTTCTCTTCAGCCTATTAAGATTTTCAGAGTAACATGGAATTATTACTTCAGTATTAGGTATTTCAAGGGTGAGGTGTGTTTCGGTAAGGCAGATAATATCACTTTCATTTATTTAGGTTTCAACAATATCAGTCTTGTTTTGAGATGAGAAATTTCTAGGTTACGCAGAGGACCTGGGTTTAACTCAATATCATTGCAGCTGATTAATAAAATACTAGTCACATAGAAAAAGAAAAGTAGGTTTTTCAGATTTTGTGTATACAGGGAAAAGTTATAAACGACGTGTACACGGTTGATTTAGTCATACACCCTCGAGTGTTCCTACAT